CTCCTCATGGAGGTTCTGTTTGTGTAAAGCTGGTTCTGCTCGGTCAGGTCATCTCCTTCTGGTCCACGCTGGTGAACAGTGGAAGGACTGAGGTCGGACCGGCTCCACACCACTGTGGCGTTCTTTAGATCCACAGAGGGAGACTTACAGGGCAGAAGAACAAACTGGTCCCCTTCAAACACCTCTAGAGCTCGGACCTCCAGGGACACTGTTAGAACAGAGACAACCGCCGTGATTCTAGAGAAGAAGCTCTATGTTCTGCCTGAGCTCTGATAGAAAGATCTGACAGAAGGTTCTGCTTGGAGGTTATAGCTATTGGGTCAGAATGACATGTTAGCTATAGGCCATGCTAAATGTTCTGGTGGAAAGTTTTCACTGAAGACAGTCTACCTGTCAGAACCTGTTAATCTAAATACCAAATCAGGTCAAACATCCAGTGGACCTCCTAAGGTGGACGCTCCCGTTTCATCGTCACAAAGGATCGAAGCTTTGGAAAGCATGGATGATGTCATGAAATACATTTAGCCGCTCCCTGCATTTTTCAACAAACTTTGACAGAAAAGGGATTTTTGGAGACCTGCTTTTACTTGTTGAGCAACCAGAAAAAGGAAATGGGCGGGGCTTATTCTACCTACAGGGAACCGAAACATCAAACTGCTTCTGGCCTTCAGATTATTTTACACAACGGAGACACAAAATACTGTAGATCCAATGACACATTTACTGACCCGGTTCCATGAAGAGCAGAACATCAGATCAAACAGAACAACAAGTGAGAGAAAGAACCCAGAGACTGAAATGAGGATGATGATGAGAGAGGAAGCTGATCTTACCGTGCAGCAGGATCCCAAACACCACCAACATCTTCATCATCTTCCTGTCAGAGAGCAACCAGGAGCAACTAGGAGAACCTTTCAGAGCCCTGGAGGACATCAGCTCCCAGCAGCTGATCACCTCCTGACTCTCTGACAACACTTCACCGTCTCTACACCTCCAGGAAGCAGCAGCTCTGAGGTGGAGGGAAGGAGGAGCTCAGAGGATCGGGACAGAAATCCTC